ATCAACATCATCATCATCATCATCATCATCATCATCATCATCATCATCATCATCATCATCATCATCATCATCATCATCATCATCATCATCATCATCATCATCATTATCATCATCGTCGTCATCACCATCACCATCAGCATCAGCATCACAATCGTCGTCAGCATTGTCACCATCATCTTCAGTATCAGCATCAGCATCAGCATCATCCCTATCATCATCATCGTCATCATCATCCACATTCATCATCATCATCATCATCATCATCATCATCATCATCATCATCATCATCATCATCATCATCATCATCATCATCATCATCATCATCATCATCATCATCATCATCATCATCATCATCATCATCCTTCCCCTCCTCCTCGCTCTCCTCCCCATCATTCCCCTCCTCCTCTTCATTCCTCCTCCCTCCGAGGAAGGGAGGAGTGCCCTACAGCGCCGTCTGGCCCCCGGGGGCCGCAAGGATGACGATTTCAGCTCAAAAAATGGCGGCTGCATCCAGATCCCGCCCTGCCCGGCGGGCAAAACAAACACCACGGCCCTAACCATCAACCCTGGAGGGAAGGAGGGAGGAGGGAGGAGGGAGGGAGGAGGGAGAGAGGGAGGCAGGAAGGAGAGGGAGGAGGGAGGAGAGAGGGGGGAGGGTACAAGCTGGGTGCGCTCGCGCCACGTCTGACGTCCTGCCCCTCCCTCCCATCCCGTCCCGTGGCGCTGTGGAGTTCTTGTAATTCGTGTGAAGCCTCCGCCTCCTCACTCCCGCCTCCTGTCTCTCGTCATACTCAAGGTCCGTCATCCTCAGACTCACTTGCAGTCAATTCAGACTCGCTCAGACTCAGACGGACTCTTGATCAGGACACTCAGCTCACACGCAGATCAGTCACACTCAGTCCTGCTCACACTCAGGCCCAATGATACACTCACTCGTTCAGATCCTCTGCTACTCAGAATTGCTCAAACTCACACCCACTCATACTCAGACCACTCCCACTCATCCGTCGTACCCAACCAAGTGAAACCCTGATTCATACGCGCATCCTAGGCGTGGCACTTGGGCACCCCAAGGGCCAGCCACCAAAGGGAATTATATACACTCGCCCGTTCGCGCCCGGCTTTCAGTGATGCCTCGAACGGGGTGTGCCTACTCTGGGTTGCTTCCTAAGCGTGGGGGGGGTATGCCCCCCCGACGGGGGTCCAACCTCGCCTCGTCGTCGCGCCGCGACGGGGGGTCGGAGCGCCTTCGGCGCGCGGTGGCCGCCCGCGACGGGGGTCGGTGTGGGGCTGTCGGCGGGGGTGACGCCCCCCGACGCTTATTAAGAAGCTCGGAGTATGTTTGCCCCCCCCCCAGGCTTCTCTCTTTTGAGAACCCCATGATCACCGTGACAAAGCAAGCGCGGCATCTGTGCACCCCAGTGTGGAGCGGCCAGGGGGTATGTTACACTCGCCCGGTCAAGCCCAGATCGTGGGGGTGTCTGAAACAGTTTGCGTGTTGTTACTCCCCAAACTCAAAGGCTCCCAACTTCGCGCTTCGCGCTGCGCGAAGCTTGAAGTGCGAATAACTTCGCGCTCTCGCGCCGCCGCCCAGGGGAGAAGAGGATGAGGAGGAATCGGAGCCGAACCTCGAAGCGCGAAGCGCGAATAACTTCGGGCCCTCGAGGGCGCCAAACTCCTGTCTCTCGAAAGCCCCATGATTACCGCGACATTGCTGGCGTGGCACTTCGGGCACCCGACGGGAGCCGCCGAGGGCTCTTTTACACTCGCCGGTGCGCGTCCAGATGGTGAGGATGTCTCAAGCCGGTTGCCTGTTGTTGCTCCCCAGCCTCCTCTCGCTTGATAGCCCCATGATCACCGCGACGCGACATAGCTGGCGTAGCGTCTGTGCACCCCATCGCGGGAGCCGTCAGGGTGCGCTGAGCTCGCCCGTTCGCGTCCAGACTGCGGGGGTAGAAATCGGGCGCTTTGCCTGCTTTCGCCAGATCCTGAATATGAGATTCTTGTTATTACTGGGACGCCTCCGCCTCACTCTGTCGTTTCCCGCTTCCTTCCTCCCTCTCACCCCATTCAGACCACCCATCCTCAGACTCACTCACACTCAAGCTCACTCAGACTTGGACTCGCTCAAAGATCCTACGCTCACCTAC